CTGGAGTGACTCTCCCCAACTGCCACTTTCTCTTTGTCACCTGAAGGAAGCCCATAGATAAGCCTTCAAGGTCCAGGACCAGGTTCTTCCTTTCTCTAGAATCCTTCCACTCTCCTACTCCTAGACAGAATTGGTGTTTTACTTCTCCATATACCCCCAGAACTTTATTCTCACTGGTGGTGTAAGAACTTAGCTCATCGTATTGTATTCCAGTTTTGACCTTGTTATGAATGGGATCTTTGTCTTGTAGATCTAGAGGTCCTGGAGCAATTTTGCATAATTTTAGCACAGAGTCTGTGGTCAGTAAAGGTTGTATTGGAAGAAAGTATGCCTTTTTGTAAATGGTGAAAGGAAAAGTTAGCCCTAAATTACAGTCTGTATTCACTATCTCAACTTCCTTTGAAAAAGTCACACGTATTCTAACACCTTGAGCTTCACAGGGAATGCCTTTTCAAGTTCATCTTTTACTGGAACCAGTAGTTAAGCTCCTTCATTATAAAGTTGATAGAGATTGTGTTTTAAGGAAATGATAGAAAAGGTTGTACTTTTCAACCAGGAGAAATCTAAGAATGAATTAAATGATGATGAAAAGATTCCTACTTTGAGAATATAAAGTACATACCTTTTTATTTTTTGGTCTTTTCCTCTGCTTATTAAAGTAATTCTCACTCATTGCAAAATAACTATCAGAAAATGTGAAGTAAAATTTGTAGAAGAAAATTAAATGTTGGTGTTTGGGGGGGAGAGGATTTTTTTCCTGGGCACATAAAGACACATTATATAAAAATAGAATCATGTTTTGTAACTTTTCTCGACCAAATGTGTCATGTCGACCAACTGAGCTTCATCATCATTCTTTTACAATTGAGGCATAATTTATAATCTAAACTATATAAACCTGAAATATACAGCATAACCACTACCCAGATCAAGATACAGAACATTTCTAATACTGCAGAAGGCTCTTTTGTAGTTCCTTTGTGGTAATGGGACAGTTCTGTATCTTGGTTGTGATGGCAATTATATAAATTTTTTTTAATAAAAATTTTATAGAACTATGCACAATACACATACATGTACACATACACACACAATGAGTACATGTAAAAACTGGTGAGTTTCTGAGTAAGCTCCATAGTTTACTGTAATCTGAGTAAACTCTTACTCTAGTTAATTGTATTGTGCCAATATTAATTTCCTGTTTTTGACTATGGTTATATGTAAGATGATACCATTAGTGAGTGCTAGGTGCAGGGTACACTGAAGCACTCCAAACTATTTTTGCAAATTCTTGTGAAAACTATAATGTTTTTAATGAAAAAGAATCTCCTTCATGCCTGTTTTATTTTAATGAATGTCTTTCAGGTTATTGTATAGATGTAACATAAGTTATTTCACCAATTTTCTATTCATTTAGATATTTTCCTGTCTTTTATTAGTACAAACAACATTGTATTGAGAGACTGTGTACCTATTTTTCAAAAGGCGTCTTGAAAAAGCCACTACAAGGCTCTTAGGAGTCATTTTCGGTGGCTACATGGAATTTTTAAGATCATACATTACATAAAATGAAGCAAACCTGTGCAATGGGGACATTAAGTACCCCAGAAGGAGGAAGGCATTACAGCAAAATTGTAATTTCTGGCTTTTCCATCTGCCCGTTGCCAAAAATCCAAGGGTATTGAGCCCTGAACCAAGGGGTGGAAGACGTAAATGAACCGTTGGCCTAGTTTGAACTCAGGTTATTACCTTGCTTCTCAACAGTGAAATATTTCTAGAAAAGATTCATTCAAAGGTAAGCTATATGGCAAATTCTGTTTTACAGGATAAAGCCATCTAAGTAGTTATGCTAAGTTTCCCCCGGTACTGTTCATCCTGATTTCTAATCCGATTTTGAGAAGACCAGCCTGGGTTGCAGGCCTTTTGAAACTGTGATGTACTTTTTGCTACTACTTAGTGGCTGGGGGAATGTTTTTTGGTAAAACAGACATTATATGAGGGTTGTTTCCCATTTGGGCACAGCAGGTACCTTATTCTCTAGCAGTTGAAGAAGGTGTTTTGTTTTGTTTGGTTGACAGATGCTCAATTCACTTGTATTCTATTACTGCTGATTGTGTCTTTGATCTAAGGAGCTCTTCGCATTAAAGCTTATAATTCAGACACATGAAAGGATTATAATGAAAAGGTTATTGCTTCTGAGACATTCAGCAAAGAAGATTTACACTTGTCAATAAGATTGGTGTTGAGCACGCTGTGTTTATCTGTGTAATATTTGAATAAAAATTTGTTGAGATGATTATTATTGGTGTTTTTCAGATGAGGCCTATATATTGAAGTGATGAGATTTAACTTTTTACATAAAACACTGCTCTCATATGACCTTATTTTCTATCACTTTCAAGCTTTAACTCTTGGCTCCAGGTGAGAAAATTAACTTTCAGCTTCTCATTTTAGAGCTATTACACATTTGGTCTAACTGCATTCTTCCATGGGCTCCACCACCTTTCATCCCTTCCTTTCAAACTTTGCTTTTCTCTTTTTATCCATGGAGCTAAATTATAGAGTAAAGTGATGTAATGCTAACAAATCTTAGTATTTATTGTTTTATCCGTTCTATTCATGCATATAGTATAATTCTGGTGTATATCTTGTTACAGGTATGTTTTACTGGATATTTGACTGAAATTTCAAATTTTCATAGCAAAAGCACATATTTACTTTGTGAATCAATCATTGGTTTACTTTTCTTATAACTATTTTAACATTGACTTCTGATCAGAACTGGAAGCATAGGTGAATACTTGACTCAACTGGAATATAAGATAAATACATTATGGAAAAGCAAAATTTCCTTCCTTTTTACATAAGGTGAAAGTTCTACTCAACTACTAGTTTTCCTTGGGAATAGAAGTAAAATCAGAAATGTCATTCATGATCTAAGTGTTCTGCATGGTAGGGTGAATCTAGTTTGGGTTTTAGACCGGCCTGAGGCTGTGACTATATGTTTAAGTTCTCTGGATATTTTTGTCCTCCTTCTCATGTTCTGCTTCTTTTTAATTATTCATAAACTTAAGATAGTGTTATGTACATGGAATTATTCAGTAAAATTTGGGGCCAAATCGGAGTCCATTGAGAGAAAAGACATTCTAAAGAGTGTGTGTCTGCAAGGTTGCATTTTACCTCCATGGGTCTGTTTCTTTTCTTTTTTCTTTTTTTTTTAACCCTAGGACAGTGTTAAAAAATGTCAAGCTGAAATGCCTCATGTGGCTCCCTTTTTGGGAGTGTGCAGGTGGTGCTAATGATCTTTTCTCCCTTGAACACGTGTAATTGAATGTCCCTGTCCTCTTTATTCTCCATTTTAACCTTGAGCAGTGAAACCCCCTCTCAGCTGGGCCTCAGTTCTGCAGGCGTCTGCGTGCCGGGCCTGTTATTACTCTGTGAATCATTGCTGGCCTTATTAAACTATTTTGGGCAGCAGCCCTTCCATTCTCCTCCTGTGAACCGTGAAGGCTAGAGTTGCTGCAGTAGCATCAGATCCAGTGTGGAATTAGAATATGAAGGGGAGGCGGTTCACTGGTTTGTAACGTGCCATCCTACCTCACAGAGCGGTGGGTGTGTGCCCACCGGGGCCAATTTGGGTCTGGGAAATTTTCTTTTGTTTTAAAAAGTGATCTCGGAAAGGTCATTCTTGACTGCTCAGCATTTAAGAATGCTTGAATATAGAACCATTTTGTCTTTGCCCCTGTCTTAATTTTTTTTGGGCTGCTATAACAAAATAACACAAACTGGGTGACTTTATAAACAACAGAAATTTATTTCTCACAGTTCTGGAGGCCGGGAAGTCCAAGATCGAGGTGCTAGAAGATTTGGTGTCTTGTGAGGCTTGTGTCCTAGGTGGTACCTTCTTGGTGTGTCCTCACAGCGTGGAAGGGACAAGGCAGCTTTCTGGTGGATCCTTTAGAAAGGCACAACTTCCATTCATGATAGCTTGTCTTCGTGGCCTGATCACCACCCAAGAGCCCCACCTCCCAATACCGTCAAGTTGGTGGTTAGGTTTCAACATATGAATTTTGGGGGGACATAAACATTCAGACCATAGCACTCCCCTTTTTTCTTTCATTTTCTCTAACATATTCATGATCCTGGTATGTGATGGTGGTGCTCTCTTGCTCTTGCATCCTAGCCTACCTCAGATCCAGGTACCCACAGTGTGAGCCTTGATCAGGAAAGGCGCAAGTGCAGTGAAGAAGGTGACCTCCAGTGAGATGGGCCTGCATTCAAATGCCAATGATGGTGGACAGATGACATAACCTTGTTAAGCCTCAATTACCAACGCTTTTTTTTTTTTTTGAGACAGAGTCTTACTCTGTTGCCCGAGCTAGAGTGTCATGGTGTCAGCCTAGCTCACAGCAACCTCAAACTCCTGGGCTCAAGCAATCCTTCTGCCTCAGCCTCCCTAGTAACTGGGACTATAGGCATGCGCCACCATGCCTGGCTAATTTTTGCTATATAGTTTTTGTAGGCCAAGTAATTTCTTTCTATTTTTAGTAGACACAGGGTCTCGCTCTTGCTCAGGCTGGTTTCGAACTCCTGACCTTAAGCTATCCGCCCTCCTTAGCCTCCCAGAGTGCTAGGATTACAGGTATGAGCCACTGCACCTGGCCAATTGCCAAAGCTTTAAACTGGGAAAAATGCATCCAACCTCACAGGATGCTATAAGGATTAATTAAGACAAGACATGCAAGAGTTGGTTTATGGGAAAACTGGTCACCGGTTAGAACTAATCTGTCCGGAAAGCCTCCTGGCCTTTGTTAAGTAGACATTATAATTCATCTGGTCTCCATGTTTTGTTTTACAGATCAGTCACTGAGACCCAAAGAGGTCATGCTTGCCTAATGACACGTAGGTGCATGTGGAAGAGTGGGGATGAGAACGTGGATTTTCTAACTCCTAATGCTTTTCCATTAAGGCTCAGCTTCCTTGTATGTTGTTGGCTCAGGGCCACATCTGAGACATTCTGAGTAAGTCTCATTGGTGGAGGTATTTGTTGTTCATCAGAAAATACTTTTTCCATATGCTGTTTCATACATACTATCCTTCGTTCCTTACCCTTCCTTTTTTTTTTTTTTTTTTAAATAAAAAGGAAAGTGTATTAATTTCCTTTTGTTGATGGAACGAATTAAATTGTTGTAGGCCACTAAGTTTGTGGCTCGAAACAACACAGCTTTATTCTTTTATAGTCCTGGAGGTCAGAAGTCAGCAGAGCTTCATTTCTTTTGGAGGCTTTCATGGAGAATTCACTTCTTTGCTCTGTCCCTCATTCAGAGAGTACCTGCATTCCTTGGCTTGTGGCCTCACATCCTATCTTCTTTTCTTCCTCTGCTTCTGCCATCCCATTGCCTCCTACATCTCCTGTCTCCCTCTTATAAGGAATCTTATGATTAGACTGGGCCTCCCTGGATAACCCAGCGTGACCTCACCATCTCCAGGGCTTTAACTTAATCACATCTGCAGAGTCCCTTTTGCCATATAAGGTCACATTCGGTGGTTCTGGGTATTAAGAACATGAATGAACCCAGGGGCTGTTAATCTGCCTACCGCAGACAGACACCTGACTGGCAACCCAGAATTCTCAAATTATCTTTTTTTTTCACCTGTAGTTCTGAATTTTTCCAAATCAAATGACATTTATATGAGTCTGCTCACTTACCTTTTTGCTAGCCACTCACTCTCCTCCCTCTGTCCCCCACAATGAATACTTCCTTTTAGAATGGACCTGTTCTAGAAATGGAAGGAACTGACACCACCCCCTCAAATGACTGTTCAGACTTCTTGGCTTACCCTGAAGTTAAGGAGGCAATGGCTGGGGAATGGATGTCTGCGAGCATCTGTCTTCCCACAGCTCACTTTCTGCCTCTGAACATGTACTTCCTGTGAGAATGTTAAATGATTTTTGGAATTTAAAAAAAAAATGACTTTCACATTCTACCATATATGTATTTTGGCATTTGGGGTTGGGGAGAGGTTTGCCTTCTTGTTTTTGGATATAGGTCAAGTTTGAATTATTGTTAACAGAAATCTCATTGGTGAATTCATTTAATCAGATGTCCGTCATCAGAATCTAGTCTCCACTGAAGGTTTCAGGGAGCTGGACCTCTTGGAGCCAAGTGAAGCCATGTGATCCTTTTTCTGGAAAGACTGACCATAACTCTCATTAGATTTTCAAGAGATTAGTGACCCCAGGAAAGGTTAATGACCAACCGAATTGATGGCTTTATTTTCCATTTCCCCCTTAGGTAAAAGGTCCTTGGGAGTACACTGAATATGTATTTTTAATACGTGATCTTTTTTTAACTGCAGCTCAGCTTCCCCCGTTCATATTGAAATAGACCTCCCACTGAAACCCATGTCTTTTTTGCTGTCAGCAATAAAAGCTTTGTTCTGTTTCTGTTGGCATATTTTGAGATATCTTTACAATAAGATATGGGAAACCTTTGTTAAGTGTAATCTGAGTCTTGGATAGGCAATGTGTAATTTGTTTGTTTAGACAGGAATTGAAGATAAAAAGTGTTTCTTTTTCCCCTGTATCCCCACAAACACCAGATGTTTTATTTGCAGATTTTTTTTTCTTTCAGTGTATATTTCTTTGGAATTGAAGAAACTAATTTCCACTTTCCTTCAGTGTACTGCATGCTTTTCTCCCTCACCTCCTATCACTGTGTACCCTTGCTTCTAGCTCCTAAAGTTTCCTCATAAAGAATGTATGATGTTTTCCTTCCCTTATCATTAACTTTGCCTTCACCTTTGCCCTTACTTGCCTTACGGAAACGCAGAGCGATGGCGACTGACTTTGGGGATTTGCTTAGTTTTCTTACGTTGCTGGATATGCGATTTGGAACAACAGTAAAGAAGTATGGTAGAAGCATAAGGCAAAATATCAAATGAAATCCAAAGATTTGTTAATTGAGTCACCCCATACAAGATAAAGCTTAGTCCGCAAAACATAAATGACCAAAGATGATTATTTATGCTTTTTGAATCAGAGAGGTTTGTAAAAGCAGGTACAATTTGGAATTAAGCTCAGATGACTGCAGAAGGGAAGGCATTCAGGTTCACGTGATGGTTCACAATTTGGCAAATGAGCTTTGAACGCCAGGCAAAGAGGGAGCCATATGTTTAATGGACTCTCCTTTCTTGATGGGTTCTTATTCCTTTTTGTGTGTGTGTGTGTGTGTGTGGTATTTTGGAGAGAATTATGGCATTAATAGTATATATACAAATTCTCTTTGAAGACTGTGGGACATTTTGCAAAAAGAATGCTTAACTATTACGAAAGGACTGTGATGCTCTTGAGAGAATTTAAGTTTCATGTGGCCCAACTTATCTATTTTATCAATCGGGAAAAAATGAGGTGGGATCTGTGTAGCATTATGCATCATGCAAAGTTGGTGATATAATTTAAGACTCCAGATTCTGAGCCAGTGGTCTTTCTTTATGCCATATTGTCTGTGCTCTGCAGAAGGAGGGAAAGGTTCTGCACTGAACAAAATGGATTTCAGACCTTGTAAACTGAACTGTAGAGTAAGGTGCACCTACACACCCACCAACATCACTAACATTTAAAAGACCGACAGTACCAAGTATCGGCTAGGATGTGGCGCAACTAGGGTTGTCAGGAGTGGCCGGTGGGAGTATGAAAAGACACAGCTATTTTGGAGAGGAGTTTGGCAACTTCTAAAGTTAAACACACTTACCTTGTGGCCCACCAGTCCTGCTCCTTTGCATTTACCCAACAGAAAGGCCTATTATTATAGAACTGTTAATAACAGCTATAACCATTGAAAACTGGAAATAACTTAAATGTTCAAAAATTGGTGAAGAGATCAATTGTGATATATTTATACAATGGGATACTATTCAGCAATAAAAAAGAAAAGACTACTGATACAAGCATTGAGGGGGATGAAACTCAAAAACATTGTATTGAGGGCAGGAAACCAGACACAAAAAGAGCATGTTCTGCGTGGTTCCATTAAAACCCAGTTCCAGAACAGGCAAAACTCAAAGGAGCGAAGGTCACAATTGACTGCAAAAGGACATGAAAAAGCTTTTTGGGTGAGGAAATGTTCTCTGTGTTGGTTGAGGTGGTGGTTACATAGGCAAATACATTTGTTCCAAACTTGTCAAACTGTACACTTAAAAGGGGTACATTTTATTGTGTATAAATTATACCTTCATAAACATGATTTTTTTTTAACAGAAAGAGATAGGATAGCGTTGAACAGCAAAGCACAGTTGATATTGGTATAAAGCATAAAATATTTTTAACATGCATTGAATTTTCTGTGGTCCTCTTTTCTCTCTCTCAAAACTGTGGACCTTCTGTCATTGTGCTCTTGGCATTTGTCTGAGAACACAGGTATAACTGTAAGCAAGTGTACCGCTACCGTGAAAAACTGAACAATCCGCCCATACACATTTCCATGAGCAAGTCTCTTCGGTGCCTGGGGATATTTTGCCAACTTAAGTAGTAATCATGGGAATCATTTAGAGCTTCAGTTATTAATTCTTCTTTGGCTACCAAAATTTTACTAGCATAACTATATATGTAAATCAAATAATACCCCAAGAAATGCCAAGTCCTTTTCTGTTCTCTAAGAGGAAGTTTGGAGGATTTGTAGACTGAGTAGGTTGAATTTATTGCCATATTCTCTGCTAAAAAGTCTAAAAATAAAAACGTTGGCATCACAGTTGGTGTTCTGAGTCATATTTTAAGTCCTGTGAGCCTGTAGCTTAGAAAAATGCTATTCAGAAAACTCTAAACTGCACATAAAATAGATCTTCTCCTTGTCAACTCCCCTGCAAGTTCCTTTCTTCTGAATTTTCTTCCAGCAATATCTAGGACTAGAACTGAAGGCATATGAGTCCCCTTGAAATGAGTTCCAGACGTAAGATGAAAGCAGCATTGCTTCTAACTGAGTCAAAGATCCCTGAGAGCTTTCTCCTGTAGCATGCTTGAGGGTGATTAAGTTACTCTTGGCTCACTACAGAAAAACTAATTGAATAAAAATTAGTGATTGTATCCATTCAAATTTTCTTTTGCTCAGCCAAAACAAAATAATGCCAGCAGTCTTTTTCTTACAATGTCGACTACATTGCTTTCACGTGGATGTAATTATTAGTTCATGCATCAAAAATTTATTGAGTACCTATCATATGACAGGTGTTTTGCTAGACAGCAGCAGGATATGAAGATCCACAAGAAAGAACAGTGTTCTCCAGGAACTCACAATTCAGTAATGAAACAGGCATACAAACAACTATGTTTATTGTAATAGTTGCTGGTATCAGATACATGCAGAGGCAGTCTGGTGTACACCAGCCCAGGACTGTTAGGCAGAAATGGATAGAAGGCATCGTTTGAGCTACAGCCTGGATGGTGGCCACTCTACCGATGCCCAAATAGGGGTGGACGTGGCTGCTACAGCGGCTCAGAGTCAGTCCGTGGAGAATTGCAAGTGGATTGGTGTATCTGGAAGGTGAAATGTGAGATGAGTAGCTTGTGTGTAGCACAGAGACTTCCTCTGATAAGTCGGTAGCCCTCAATCCTGTGCATGTAATCATCTGGAAACAATGTCCATCCCTAGATCCCAGGACCATCGAATTAGAATCTTCAGAAAGAGGACCTAAGCACGTATTTTTCTTTACAATGTCCATGGATATTCTGATTTGTAGCCAGATTACCTATCATCTGTAGGTAATTCATATCCACTGAAGAAATTTGGGCAGGGGCATGACATGACCTGATAGGTTCAAACTGAAAACTGAAAAGCTTTCGATGAAATGGTGCCCGTCTTGTAAATACTGGAGGTGCAAATAGGTCACTATCATTTTCTTCACTGCAGAACACCTTTGGGGTAATTGTTTTAGACATAAAGAAATAATAGTATCCAATTACCATGGCATACCCGTCCCTGTTACAGGAGCCCACCTAATAGTCGTGTCTGCCTCTTCATCACAC